ATTTTGTTTATTCTTATAACTATATTTGAAATGTGGAGAAGGAGGCGGGGTGATGTCAGTGCAGTCTTTTCTCATGAGATGTTGCCTCCCTCTAGTGGTACATAAAAAAACCACATAGGCTCTTAAAAATGGTGGAAGAATTATTATAGCTGAATGTTTGATTGCAGACAGAGATGGAAAGTAACTCAATATAAGGTATTTTTAGTACTGTATTATTACATATTTTTCTGGTAACAGTACTTTACTACTTATTTTTCCTTTTACTCCTAACTTCTTAGAATGATTTAGTTACTTTAATGATGGTGACATAACATAAAGACAGATTTGAACTGATTAACCATGCTTCTAAGTGAGTACATTCTTTTGTGGTTAGTAGTTATATATGCTGTATTACTTCTCATATTCTCTCCCAGAATGAACAACTCCAAACATGTCTCCCGCTCCAATAATCTCTGTTGATCATTCAACAAATAGCATTTTACTTTTGTACACGCAAAAGCTTTTGTAGTAAGTGTAACTGTCCAGGAGAGGGTGCTGTGCTGCTCTCTCTGCCTTCTCCTCTGTGCACTTCCACGGATCTAGGGAACGTACCCATCTCAGGTACCCACAGTCTACGGTACCCACATGCAGCTGGGAGAGCTGCTCAGTCTCTCCTGTCTCTCCCTTGGACCTGTCCTGGGCCCTGCTGAGAGCCACTTTGCCTAAACCACCAGTGCACATTTGAGTTTGTCTTTTAGTGTATGCACCACACTCACTCCACACTCTGGCCTTGTTATATGTTGTACTTGTTGTAATCACATACACTTGTAGTAGTTGGACCATACTTCTGCCACCTCTTTAACACACACTGTAACTGTTAGATAATATTCTGTAATGCATGGTTAAGCCCTCATCAAAAAAGCTTTTTGTCATCATAAACATCACTTTGAAAGAGCTGCGCCAGACACTCAAATATCACTGAAGACAATAATAATCAATAGAAAGCACTGATAAAAACTAATAATGAAAAAAAGCATCATGCAAAGAGCAACTCGTAAAATACTTGCAATACTTCATTCTGAACACTTGAGGGCAGCAGTTCTTTCTTAAAACACCGGTTATTCCTGTGAGAAAGACTTGAAGAAGGACAGTATATGTATGTATTTTACAGAATACAATACTAATATATTAGTAAAGTAAATATAATATATATTTTACCACTTGTAATTAGTAATATTTCCTGATTACTATGATTAATATAAACATAATATTTTAGAATTATTTTAGAAAGATAACAAACATAAAATTAAAAGTGTTGTTGTTTAGTTTCGGACTCACAAAATTGTAACTTGGCAGAGAGCAGGATCAGGTGAAACCCTCTCGAAGAAGACGTTTCTAAGAATGAGCTGTGAAGTGTTCAGAGGCTAAATATGGCCCCACTCAGACATTACAGCAATGAGTATGTCCAAGCTACATCCAGAGAGAGAGATGGAGACAGTGACAGAGAGTGAGAGAGAGAGTGAGACAGAGAGAGAGTGAGACAGAGAGTGAGAGAGAGAGTGAGACTGAGAGAGAGAGACAGAGAGTGAGAGAGAGAGAGAGAGAGAGTGAGACAGAGAGTGAGAGAGAGAGTGAGACAGAGAGTGAGAGAGAGACAGAGAATGTGTGTGAGAGAGTGAGACAGAGAGTGAGAGAGAGAGAGACAGAAAGTGAGACAGAGAGTGAGAGAGAGACAGAGAGTGTGTGTGAGAGAGAGAGTGAGACAGAGGGAGAGAGAGAGAGACAGAGAGTGAGAGACAGAGAGAGAGACAGTGACAGAGAGAGTGAGACAGAGAGTGAGAGACAGAGAGAGAGAGACAGTGACAGAGAGACACAGAGAGAGAGAGAGACAGTGACAGAGAGACAGAGCGAGAGAGAGAGAGACATTGCCAGAGAGACACACAGAGAGAGAGACACAGTGACAGAGAGACAGAGAGAGAGAGAGACAGAGAGAGAGAGTGACAGAGAGAGAGAGACAGTGATAAAGAGACAGAAAGAGAGGCAGAGAGAGAGACAGTGACAGAGAGAGAGAGTAACAGAGAGACAGAGAGAGAGACAGTGACAGAGAGAGAGAGAGTAACAAAGAGACAGAGAGAGAGACAGAGAGAAAGACAGAGACAGTGACAGAGAGACAGAGAGAGACAGTGAGTGACAGAGAGAGAGAGACAGAAAGAGAGACAGAGAGAGAGACAGTGACAGAGAGACAGAGAGAGAGAGACAGAAAGAGAGACAGTGACAGAGAGACAGAGAGAGAGACAGAAAGAGAGACAGTGACAGAGAGACAGAGAGAGATAGACAGTGTCAGAGAGAGAGAGACAGTGACAGAGAGACAGAGAGAGAGACCGTGACAGATTGAGAGAGACAGAAAGAGAGACAGTGACAGAGAGACAGAGAGAGAGAGACAGAAAGAGAGACACAGAGAGAGACAGTGACAGATTGAGAGAGACAGAAAGAGAGACAGTGACAGAGAGGCAGAAAGAGAGACAGAGAGAGAGACAGTGACAAAGAGACAGAGAGAGAGACAGTGACAGAATGAGAGAGACAGAAAGAGAGACAGTGACATAGAGACAGCGAGAGAGAGACAGAAAGAGAGACAGAGAGAGAGACAGTGACAGAGAGAGCTCTTACACACACTTGCAGGACGAGTAATGTACTTTGCTGAATCATTCATTTCAGTAACATAAAAGGATCAGGTCCAAACAGATTATAAATATATAAAAGTGACTTACCATCTATTCTAATGTGATTCTAGGATCACATTATTTCTGACCCAGTTAAATCTCAAACTAAATGACTCAATAACCACTGCCCTTTAATAATAACAACACTATTTCCACCGCGCAGAGGGAGATGGACACAGACAGGGGAGGGATATCCTTAACTGCAAATGCCATGAAATTCAATCTGTTCAGATACATGCGCACTGGTCAGGACTGTAGGCCGCAGGACCACCACAGGACCACCGCAGGACCCCCGCAGGACCACCGCATGGCACACAAACTACTATACATGCCATTTTTATTCTTTTCATAGCTACAAAAATCACATCACGTTCACTTGGAAAATACCGGGCAGTTGTCAACAGGTTTCAAGATAAGGTAAGACAAAATATGACTATTGAGTGTTTGTCATAGAGAATATTCATCTAAAATATCTATATATACATGTATATTGCAAAGTTATATGTATAGGGCACAGCAATAAAAACATAACGTGACATTATAAGGTTCATTATTTTATATAGAGTGGGGAAAACACGCTAAAGAGAGAGTAATGCTATAACTTTAATGCTATTATAAGACTTGTATTATTGCTTTTCCTGGATATAGAAGAGAAGCGTTAGTGTCTGCGGTGATCTGAATTACATTTACACTCAAAACAGAGAGCAGAGCAGAGAATAGAAACTGCAGAATGTGTCCGTCCATTTCTGTATATGACAAATGGAGTTCGTATTTCATTTCAGCTCTAACACTTTCTATGTGTGGTAGACGGGAGCTTGTCTCTCCTGAAACCTCCTGGAATTGAATAAATGTCAGATTCCATGTTGAGAATATTGAGTATTTTCGGAGATGCAATTGACCTTCCACCAGAAAGCATTTAAAAAGGCATTCGTTCTGGGATGATACAATAAAAGTAACACATTGGATATAAAAGTTGTTGATGTTCACCTGTTCATACTCTATTCAACCAATAAACCTTTATATTCAGGCACAAGATACCATAACATGCCCTAATTACATATTATTTAAAATATTATACATTTAATTTATATTTTATATAGAATTTGAATATATTATGCTTTAATGCTGTGGTCCCATTTATATTTAGGAAAAACTGCCCATATTATTTAGTTGGTGTCATGTTGATAATCATGTTTTAATCACTGAACAACGTGAAACTCATGACGTAAATCAATAAATTAAAACAAAAGTCTCTAATCAAAGAGCAGAGTGGACTGTTGGTTTTTGAGGGTCGTATATTTAGCCGGGATTCCCTCCGCAGCTGCTCACACCTCCTTGTGAAAATGGACGGGTCAGAACATTGACAGACACCAATTTTGACCCAATCAGAGTTCGCCTCGCTGGTAACCCTGGTAACGGGGGCGGGGTCTGCTGAAATGCTAGGAAGTGGAAGCAGAAGTAGCAGCGAATGACACAAACATGGAAGAGACGCACATCTGGATAAGGCTGAACGTGGTTTTCATGAAGATTATCAGGATGTTCAGTGCATGCAGCTAAGACCACTGTGGACTGAAGAAAGGTCTGTGTGTGTTTTTGTGTGTCATGTTGTTGGATCATCCCTGAGCTGATGTTACACTTGTGCAACAGAAAAGTTCAGTTTTATTGAGATAATTCTGTGTAAACGTAGACAGATTGAAATTGTTTATAGTTGAAATACGTCTATCTTTGTCAAAGCTTTGCTGTTGTGTTTTAAATTTGACCTGAATTAATGATATTTTTGCAAATATATTTGATAATAATAATAATAATGCATCGATTTATACGGCACTTTCCACGAAGCTCAACGACTGTCATTATTCTTTCACTTCAAACACGGAGGTGAAAAACTACTACTGTAGCCACAGCTGCCCTGGGGCACCACCAACCATTCACTCACAAACACATCAGACTCATTCTAGGCAAAGTGTCTTGCCTAAGATTGTTTAGAGCCTGAAAGGTCAGTCAGTATTTATTAAAAAGACATTTTCATTTCATTCTGCAGTCATTATATAATTATCTGAGCCATAAAACGTCTGCATGTATAAGACTATATAATTAATAGATTACTAATCAAAAAGTAATTTGGTAGTCTCCACTATCAATTGGAGCATCTGAGAGTTGCAAAAATGTAGAAAATGGCAGAAATAGTGAGGGAGGTTGAATACATTCTGAATGCAGTATGAAGAAATATAAAAATGTTCTGTCGTCATCTTGAAATCATCATTTGTATAATTGAAATATGTATTCTTCTACACAGGCACAATGACAGGAGAGGAGAAGGCCCCGACCCAAACCCGACACAGAAAAAAGGGAAAGAAGTCTCGCTCTAAGGAGAAAAGTCCTGGAAGCAGTCCCAAAGTCCAGCTGCAGGATGAAGACCTCCTCCTCGCTCCTCCTGTCGTACTGCCTCCTCAGAAGAAGAAACATGAGGAGAAGCTCAAAGTGGAGAAGGAGGAGTCGTCCTTCGCCATCTGTTTGCAGGTGGTGTTCCCCTACCTGTTGGCCGGGATGGGCATGGTGATGGCCGGCATGGTGCTGGACCAGGTGCAGGTAAGTGGGACGCCTTTTACACAAGCTTTATTTGGATCTAGGGATGTATGTAGACTTTTTTTCTTGGTTTATCTAATTTGAATTATGGCTCAGGCAAACCAAAGTGGGGTTAAATGTCTTGCCCAAGGACACAATGATATCAGTCGTCAGCGGGAGTCGGTTGAGAAGGTCTTGTGGTGATCTCGAACCCACGACCTTCAGGCTCAAAGGCCAGTGCTCTACCAACAGAACCACTGGTCTTATTTGACGAGCCCGTGTCAACAGAATGATTGACAATTGGGAGGACTAATAGTTTTGATGATCCACATGGAAGTAGATAATCCTCCTGTATACTTTTTTTTATTTTTTTATTTTTTTCAAACATATTTTATTGGGTTTTTCCAAAACATTTCACAAAAAAGTTATGCAGAAATTATGGCTTTTTTTTTCAAATCAAGAACAAACATACAAAAAACAAAACAAAAAATAATAAAAATAAATAAAACAAATATATATATTTTAAGAATTGAAATAGCCCCACACACGTCACAAGTCAACGTCAGTAGCAACAGGAAAGACATACGAATGTGCAAACACGTATATACAAGTGCCACAAAACAAAAATATACATCTTACCTATATACTTATATGTACACATCAGCCACATAAAGGCCTACTTACAGTGCCTTGCGAAAGTATTCGGCCCCCTTGAACCTTTCAACATTTCGCCACATTTCAGGCTTCAAACATAAAGATATACAATTTTGATTTTTTGTCATGAATCAACAACAAGTGGGACACAATCGTGAAGTGGAACGAAATTTATTGGATAATTTAAACTTTTTTAACAAATAAAAAACTGAAAAGTGGGGTGTGCAATATTATTCGGCCCCGTTACTTTCAGTGCAGCAAACTCAGTCCAGAAGTTCAGTGAGGATCTTTGAATGATCCAATGTTGTCCTAAATGACCGATGATGATAAATAGAATCCACCTGTGTGTAATCAAGTCTCCGTATAAATGCACCTGCTCTTTGATAGTCTCAGGGTTCTGTTTAAAGCGCAGAGAGAACCATGAAGACAAAGGAACACACCAGGCAGGTCCGAGATACTGTTGTGGAGAAGTTTAAAGCCGGATTTGGATACAAAAAGATTTCCCAAGCTTTAAACATCTCAAGGAGCACTGTGCAAGCAATTATATTGAAATGGAAGGAGTATCAGACCACTGCAAATCTACCAAGACCTGGCCGTCCCTCCCAACTTTCATCTCAAACAAGGAAAAAACTGATCAGAGATGCAGCCAAGAGGCCCATGATCACTCTGGATGAACTGCAGATAGGCACTG